CATCAAACTATCCAATCTTGGCAGATTGTTTGACTGTCCTTTTATAAAACCTTCTTCCATTCTACCACTACACGTTTCACTTTAGTGTAATCGGATTTAGAGGATAATATTATTTCTTTCAAATACAAGCACAAACACTATAAGTAATAGGAACACAAAGATGATCGAAAGAAAATGAAACGAGACCCGCGTAATTTGGTCAAACCGCACTGTACCGAGCGCCGCGTTTGTATCGCGGTCGCGGTCTGCGGGGGTGTGACGTAATAGTGTGAGTGCGCTACTTCGCCTATGCGGATCCCAGATGTGGAGGATCATGTACCTTCCCTGTTGGACCTTCCGCTAACCTCTCATCCGGACGGATATCAGGTCTCCGTCGATGCCCCTCTTGGCTCTTCTGACCACTGTTTGATCCGGCGTACGGGTCCACTCACGTTATCATCGCCGGTCGTATCCATAGGTTGGCCGATTGTGACGGGATGCGGTCTTTTTTTGCATCCTTACCCTTGGGTTTGCTTCTTGCTGGATGATCCCAACGTTGTTGCTGATTCTGTTGCTGGTGTGGTACTTCAGGGTATTGAATTATTTATTCCATCATCTGTGGTGCCTATTGGAGGCAGAACTCAGCCATGGTTTGGTAAATCCTGTAAAATTGCATCACGCTACCGGAGTGCTACCGGGCCTGGGTTGACGCATCAACGCCCCGGGATGTAAACACCAGCGCTCTTAAAAAGAAGTAGAATTCCACCTTCAGGTCCTTCAAAGAGTCATTGCCAAGGCAAAGTCAGAGCACATCGGCAGAATTGGGCAGAAACTGGTTCGCCTCCCTTCGGGAACATGTGCATTCTGGTCTCTCGCCAAGGCTGTCCAAGGGAACTTCTGTCAGCCATCTCTGCCATCTCTGCACAGGGTGGACGACTCACTGGCCCATGACGCAAAGGAGAAAGCCGATCTGCTAGACTCTCTTTTTGTTTCCAACTTGACTCTAGATGACATCATCATGTTCCCATGGGAACACATCGCCGACCATCCTGCGGTGTGAGTGCTCCATGCAAGAAGTGCTGTATACACACCGCTCGGTATGTAAAGCAGTCCCCTCCCTGGATGTCAACAAGTCTAGTGGGCCTGATGGAGTCCCACCTGTTGTGCTGAAGACGTGTGCTTCGGAGTTGGCATCGATTCTAACGCGTCTTTTCCGGAACTCGTACTCCCTAGGCGTAGTCCCGAATTCATGGAAGACAGCTTTGCTGCACTCGATCCCTAAAAAAGGCAACCACTCAGATCCGTCCAACTACGGGCCTATCGCTATCACCACCTTGTTCTCCAAAGTAATGGAAACCATTATTAACTGCCAGCTCATGCGGTACCTTGAGGATCACCATCTGATTAGTGACCGCCAGTACGGTTTCCGTCGAGGTCACTTAGCTGGTGATCTTCTAGGTTAACTAGCTCATAGATGGGCGGAGGCAGTGGAGTCCAAATGGGCGGCGTTAGTTAGTTTGGACATGGCGAAGGCCTTCAATCAGGTTTGGCACAAAGCGCTTCTTTTGAAGCTGCCTTCCTATGGGCTTCCCGAGAAATTGTGCAATTGGATCACCAGTTTTCTTGCAGATCGGAGCATCAAGGTCGTAGTAGACGGTGCATGCTTCGATTACAAGCCCATCGATGCTGGTGTTCCACAAGGCTGCGTGCTATCACCAACGCTGTTTCTTCTGTATATCAATGATATGTTGCAAATCAGTAACATTCATTGCTATGCCGACGACAGCACTGGTGATGCTAAATACAGTGGCCGTGCCAATATTTCTCGGGAAAACGTCGCCGAGTACCGGAAAAATCTTGTGTCTAAAGTCGAGACTTTGTTGAATAAAGTCTCAGACTGGGGGCGACTATATCTAGTCCAATTCGATCCCCGGAAGACACAAGTTTGCGCGTTTACCGCTAAAAAGAACCTCTTTGTCGTATCTTCTCAGTTTCAAGGCATTCCCCTTGTTGACTCAGTCAGTATCGGTCTTGGTATCGACATATCGAGTGATGTGCAGTTTCGTGGTCATTTGGAAGAGAAGGTTAACCGAGAGAGTCTCTTAGAGATAAATTTAAAGAAATAAATATATTAACTTTGGCCTCAGTATATTTACGAAAATTTAATGTATGTTCACAAACACAAAGATAGTTTTAGTAAAAAAAGTAATATACATTCTGTAAACACTAGGAACAAACACAAGTTAGTGATGCCAGTATCTCAACTCCACAGAGTCAGTAATTCATTCTTGGGGCAATGTATACGCTATTACAACAAGGTCCCGGAAAGTGTACAGGTTCTTTCTATTACCAAGTTCAAATGTTTTATTAAGCTGAAACTGTATGAAAAGGGTTATTATAGTATAAATGAATACATGGTTGATAATAACCCTGGGAATGAGGTGGTCGCTTCCAAGCGGTTTCTAAAATAAATTTTGTAAATAGTTCCTAATCATTTATATTGTAAAATTTATTTAAAAAAAAGTCCCGCTGGGTTTTTTGCTGGTTCTTCCCAGGACAGAGGGTTTTTTTTCGAACCAGTGGTAAAGTAAAAAATGACTTTCAATAAGAATTAGACATGTAATGTATATTGAATAAAAATTATTCTATTCTATTCTAAATTGGCCTCTAAAAAGCTTGGCGTGCTCAGCAGAGTGGGACAGTATTTCATGCCAGCACACCGCTTACAACGTTTACAAGGCGCAGGTTCGGCCTCACATGGAATACTGTACCCATCTCTGGGCAGGGGCCCCCCAGTGCCAGCTCCTTTCACTTGACCGCATCCAGCGCAGAGCGTTTCGAATCGTCGACGACCAAGTTCTTTCCGAACGGCTTGACTCACTGGCACTGCGTAGAGATGTTGCATCTTTTTGCGTATTTTATCGCATCTACCACGGGAAGTGCTTTGAGAAATTGTTCAGACTAATTCCAGCCGCTCAATTTCACCATCGTACATCGCGGCAAAACTCGCGATACCATCCATACCATCTACATGATTGGCGGTCCACCACTGTGTGATTTAGATGTTTTCTTCCTCGCACAACTTCCTTGTGGAATCGATTACCCCCAGCGATTTTTCCGGACCGATACGACTTAGGGACCTTCAAGAAAAGAGCCTACTCCTTTTTAAAAGGCCGGCAACGCATCTGCGATTCCCCTGGTGTTGCAGTAGTTCATGGGCGGCGGTAGTCATTTACCATCAGGTGAGCCGCATGATCGTTTCCCCCCTCCTATAAAAAAATGTAAAAGTGGTGCGATTTTGTGTTAAGTGTCTGCGCATGTGAACTATTAGTGGACATGGTGAAACAAGTACTGTGATGGTGATGTGACTATCAAGATAATGTGTCTGTCTACTTAGGCGCCTTGAGATACCATCGCCAACTGTCAGCTGTCTGCTGGCTCCAGTTGCCGTCTAAATCTAAATCTCCCACGGGCTGCACAATGTGACGCATCTACATATTGTGAAGCTGTTTACTATGAAGGATAATTACTATACATTGTAACTTCAGGCTCAGAAAGGCTAGAACCCAGATCCGTAAAATCAGTTATAAAAAAATAATCAATATTTTGTATCGTAGAGAGCATCGATCACTAATAAAAAAACTAGATGCACAATCCCATAGAAAAGTTCTCTAAAAACTGTCGCCAAATGTTTTGTAAATTTAATCTTAAGTGAAATGCTTAAAGTTGTATTCACAAAGAAACGTACAAAAAGCAATAAAATTTTACAACCGAGGCTCGTCGCTTGGACAAGGAGAGTGGAGTCGAACTGCACAATATTCTTTGTTACTGTAATTTTAATTTTACAATTTTTTTTAAACTTGTTTTAAATAATTGGTCTACTTAATAAAGCTTTCATTCATTCTATTCTATGGTGTATATGTGTAATGGTTATATTATTAACTGAATGTAAATATGCAGGTAAAGGGCACCACATTCATTTAGTAATGAAAATAATTCAAACAGTCATAATTATTTATTTATTCTTTATCTTGTGTGAAAAATTTAAAGATATTGCTTGACAAACAAGTTAAATCTAAATATAATAGTTACTAAATATAAAAAATAAGTTCAGAAAGCTCTTGCAAAATCTAAGAACATTATTGTCCAAATTTTGACGTAATGTTCATATTTACAGATGTTTAAAAAAACGGTAAGACTGAATTTCTTATTTTTCTTATTTTTTGATTTTCTTATATTTACGCGTTCACTGCACATTTAAATGAAACTAGTTTTACGGATTTTAACGCGTATATTAACTTATTTTATATTCCCGATGTTTCGAGTACTATAATATTTAGAGAAACAGTAAAGAACTCTCATTAAACAAAAAAAAATACAATCATACTTTGATATCAAAAAAAAAAAACAATAGCGTTTCCACAAATGGAACAGAATCAACGCATATACCTCGAACAATGACGACTTATTTTATTACGACTTAATTTAAAAAATACTTTTTCGATGGTTTCTTGACAAAATATCAGTATTTACCATACAGTTATAACAATTAAATAATGTTAATATTAATATTTACCGAAAATATGAAATTCCACCCTTTTTTAGCGTCCTGGATGTGTGCTTTTTACACTTTTTAAACGAGCACTGAGGCATGTTTACCGTCGGAACATTCGAATGCTACTAGATTAAATGTGCACCCATATGTTCGAGTGGGTGCACATTCGGTTATGCCATTTTTTGTCACTGATTCTGTATCTAGTTTTTTATTAGTGATCGATGGTAGAGAGAGAATAAACTACTCCCTCTACGTTTTCAATATCCTATATAGTATATTATATTATCTATGGTTTTGTATTTGTTCATCTTCACCCACAAACTAGTAAGAAGTGCTAGATCTTCACCACAGGCTCAGAAGAGCTAGAACCCAGAGCCGTAAAGCCAGTTTAAAAAAATCATCTTCATCACAGAGTAATTTTTATATATTGATTGATTAGCTTGCTACATATATATTTATCTATGTTGATTGATCTTCATCGTGTTTTGTGAATAAACAGGTGAACAGTATAAACTATAAATATTAAATAGTTTTGTACGTTTTTTATATGTAAAATGAAGGCTAAAATTAATATTTCGGAGTTATTTAGTGATGTTCAGGCCAGTCAAGGTTATGTGAACGTTTGTGCTCCAATGGTTAGGTACAGTAAAGTGCAATTTCGAACACTCGTAAAAAAGTTCGTATAATGTTATTGTTATTAAAATCTACTTGCATTTTTTATCAACTACTTTTTTTTCTTCGATATGGCCTTTAATTATTAACTAGGTACCTACTTGAATTTTTTATACTTTATAAGTCATAGTTTAGTAGTACATAAAAGTACGGTTAGCTTAAGAGTTGTGCTTCGATGAATAATTAAGGTTGGGTGTTGGGTGTTGTGTGTATAGTGCAATATTATCAGCCTAATGAGAATGGTGCAAAACCATTTTTTTCATCTTTCCAGTAAATCTTGAGAAAGAGAATTTTACCTTATGTTTGCAATTATATCTCTAGGCCAGAGAATGTTTGTAACAAAGTTTATCAATTACATGGGGATGATCAGCTCGTACATTCTCTGCCTGAGCAACAGGAGAAGGACATTATTATATGCAGAGGAAATTTGAACAAACTAATATTTCTTGACATTTCAAGTGTTGATTATAAGACTAATCATATAGTAGTGGTTAGGATCAAAGCCTGTCAACATTGCTAATACTTCTCTGAATCCAAATTGGTTTTTAGTAGCTTAGGCAATTTTTTCTGAAATGCTCAGAAATTGTGGTGACAGTTGAGGAGAGGGATATAGGTTAATAGATCTTTGCTAGGTTTTAAAATATGCTTTATAACCTGGGATCTCCATTCTTCAAATGGGAAAATAGAGGAAGAATTTCCATACAGTCTATTACTGATGAAGTGTAATAGACTGTATGGAAATATACCTAAGGTGGAGACAGTATATTATTATAATCTTCTAATCAATTGCTGGCCGTATGAGGAAGCTCAAGGTCGCTCAGTGAGCTATGGAGAGGGCTATGCTCGGAGTTTCTCTGCGTGATAAACTTAGGAATGAGGATATCCACAGTAGAACCAGAATAACCGACATAGCCCAACGGATTAGTAAGCTGAAGTGGCAGTGGGCCGGCCATATAGCTCGAAGAACCGACAACCGATGGGGAAGAAAGGTTCTCGAGTGGCAGCCTCGTACCGGTAGGCGAAGTGTAGAGCGTCCCCCCACGAGATGGAGTGACAACCTGGTAAGACATACAGGAAGTTGATGGATGCAGGTGGCTCAGGACCGTGCTTTGTGGCATTCTTTGGGGGAGGCCTATGTTCAGCAGTGGACTTGTGAAGGGCTGTAATGATGATGATGATGATGAATCAATTGTTTTGGTCATTAGAGGAATAGCAGCTAATTGAATGCAGTGCACCTGAAAATTGTCTGATTTTTTACCCCAAACTAAAAATGGAGTAAAAGAATTTTACTCCAAACTAAAAATGGAGAAAAAGGAGTAGGAGAATGACAAAAAATTTACCAGCTTTCTTTTTTTCCTGTTAGTAATTTTCTTGTACTGAATACTTAAATGTAGTATATAATTTTTTCTTTCTTCTATTGTTTGACTGCACTAGTAGAGTCCTACCATGGTGGAGAACAGTTTTTATTAAAGTGATTTATTAGAGTGAGTTTTAGAAGAGTACAATAGAGTTCCGTTATAGGCGCTGTATTGTATATTATTTATACTTTTGACCTTTCCCGTTGTTTACAGTGTAAGCATCTTTGTAGATGATATTTGCAAATCCACGAATTGAGTATGACCGCCTTCAGGGTGATCCGAATAAAATAGCCATTTGATCCAAAGAATGGCTCGTAAATCTCAATGCTTCAAAATGGGTGGCATGTCTCTTACAGATGTTAAAGTAAAAACAGATTTGGGAGGAAAAATTGCAGCAGACAAAGTGGGAAGAGTATATATTATCAGCAATTGTCAAGAAAGCTAAATAACTAATTTATCTTGTGAGGAAAGCTTTCGCTGTCCTAACACCAGAAATGATGCTTAAGATCCACAAAACATTTATCAGGCCAATATTAGAATGTGCATTTCAAGTCTGGAATTCCTACTTTATCAAGGACATTGAAGCTTTGAAAAAAGTACAATGTAACTTCACTAAAATACTGCAGTTATTAAAACGGCAATCTTATGAAGAACATTTGAAAGTTTTAAAACTTACAACATTAAAAAAACCGTAGGGACCGAGGAAATCGAATCAAGGCGTTTAAGACGTGAATACCAACGTAAAATAGCAGTTTAACTCTGCTGTGTTACGTATGGTGAGTGTAGAGAACCGGAAAACCTTTTTACTGGAAATGAGGCATTCTATCTTAGTCCTCACGGGTGACAACGCATCTGCATTTTGATTTTTAATAGAGGATAGATATAGATGTTGATGGGCCGCAGCAACCACTTACCATCAGGACTGTGTGCTCGTTTGTCGCCCTTATCCTAAAGAAAAAGGGTCTTAATTGGACATTATGAATTGAAGAGCTTGACAAATTGTTTATATTCGTAATGAACCATCCATGAACTACCAATGGGCTACCATCTTAAGCTATGTATCAGCTTTTCAAACAACAACCCTCACAAGCACTTCATTTGTAACCTTGTAGTCACCAAGTGGAATAAGCTGCTAGATAATGAAGTCACAGCCTAAAATGTGAACCAATTCAAAAACAGATTAGATAATCACTTTCTGAACTGCAAAAGGAGTAACTAGTGGGCACAAACAGGATACAGCCATTATCAGTTATCTCAACTGCCTGTCTGCTAATATACAACATGTAACAAAAACCTTGTGGTTCCCATTAAGTACGTTATCAGGATCATTATTCAAACATAGAAATAACTTTATTTTAAAACTTGAACAATATTTTTTTATTTTATTAAAGAAAATAATTTTATGCAAATTGTATATGGTTTTATTACCTCTGCATTGTCTGGGGAGTAAGAGGATTGTCAAAGACCCTGCTTTACTTAGCTTTAGCATTGGCTAGTGTCAGCAAGAGGTAATAATACCACATAAAATAAAAAAAAATGTTTATTAAAATTAAAAATAAAATGGTTGAGTTTTCAAAAAAAGTTATTTCTATAGGTTTGAATACTGATCCTGATAACATACTTAACGGGAACCACTGGGTTTTTGTTACATGTTGTATAATAATAATAATTATTATCTGAGGCGACTGGGACTTCGTGACGGACAGCCCCAGGCTCAAATCATGCAGAAGGCGGTGCACCTCGATACCGACCGCATTGTCCGCCGGTTTCGTGTTAAACGTTTCAACCGCATTGATCAATGATCAGTATTGATCGTTGAAATAGTTCGGGGGTATTGAAACTTTCAATCACGTCCAATGCGATTGCGCAACCGCATTGAAATGTATTTAAACATCACAATTTAATTGAAGCCACCAATTTGAAAGCAATATTGAACTCACCAATTTGAAAGCAATATTGAATCCACTGAATCGAAATTGGATAAATTTTGTTGTATTGTAATATCGAATATCGTTTTTACTATAAACTTTTCTTTTGTTTCAGTTACAATGTTGACTTGACATTTACACCAATGATTTTAGCAGATTCTTTTTGTCAAAATGCTAATGCCCGTTCAAATGAATTTTCAACAACTGAAAGTGACAGTCCCTTGATAGTACAATTTGCTTCTAATAATGTAAATGATTTTGTAGATGCTTCTAAACTGGTGTATCCATATGCTGATGGTGTTGATTTAAACTGTGGCTGTCCTCAAAGGTGGGCAATGAAAGATGGTTATGGATGCGCATTATTGTACAAACCAGAAGTGGTCTATGAATTGGTAAAAGGTATAAAAAACAACCTTCCTACTAACTTTAGTATATCTGTGAAGTTAAGAATTTTAGATGATCTAAAAAGGACTGTAGAATTATGTCAGCAGTTGGAAAAAAGTGGCATAAATTTTTTAACAGTCCATGGACGCACTCCTTCACAAAAGAACAGTGACAGCATTGATACTAACGCATTGAAAACCGTATGTGAATCTGTTAAAATACCTGTGATCGCAAACGGTGGCATAAAAACATTAGAAGATGCTGATAATTTACATAATATAACTAACTGTAGAGGTGTGATGGCTGCAAATGGTATTTTGGTCAACCCAGCTCTTTTCAGTGGTGCAAAAACGACTCCTATGAGTTGCGTTAAGTTGTGGATGGATATGAAGAATAGGCACCAGAATAAAATAACATTTCAGTGTTATCATCACCATTTGGTTTTCATGCTTGATAAAGTGCTGACAAGGCAACAGAAGCAAGTTTTTAATCATCTTTGCACATTTAAGAGTGTTGATGAATTTATAACTACTAACTTAATGATACCAAGTGATTTTAATATACATTATAATATTGACAACTTCGTGACTTGTGACTATGCTGATGAAATAACAATGAAACATTCTAGTAAATGTCGAAGTTGTGGCAGAAGCATATGCTATTGTATTTGTACTAAATATGATTATGATTTAAATAATGGAAGTTTCTTCACTTCATATGTACAGAACTTTGATCATTTAGATTATATGGACTGTAATATTTTTGAGGAAACAATTTGAATTAGGTTTATTTGTTATCTTTTTCTTTGAAATCATTAAATTTTTGTGTTGTTAACTGTTTTTGGAGATTATTTTAGGGCATTACTTGGAACTTGAATATTTACATTACTAAATTGAAAGACTAATTGTGGTTATTTTCAAATAAAACAAATATTGCTTTAGAATTTTTGAATATGCTTGTGTCTTTGTGTAAAGTTGTCTGATTTACTCATTGCTGTTATGTTGATTGGATTGTTTATTGGTATGTATGTTGCTGCAATGATGTATTGAAGAACAGGGTAAACAACATTACGTATAAATATATAATAACGTATGATAGTCACCATAAGCATAATCATTATAGCCCATCAGAAGTCCGTTACTTAACAACACCCTTCCCAATAAATTGTGACGGTGCATGGTGCCACCTGTATCCGTCGAAGTCCTGCATGTTTCATCTTGTCACTTCATTAAAGCCCAGTTTACATTTTGAGAAGTGACAAGTGCTAGTGAGATTGTGTGACAAGTAAACACTGTCAAGTGAACTAGTAAGCAGGTGTTCACACATGTAGCAAGTGCATATGCAGTAAGGTCATTATTATGTGGAATTCCGAACTGCATGGTATTTCTTGTACCTAAAATGGATGAGCAATTGCGCCTACAAGTTCGTGAAGTAATCAGAGAAGTCATAAACATTGTATTGAAGCATGTCGAAGAAGAAGTAGTTCAGGAGCGGGCTAGATCGCAACGAGTGTGGCAAGGGAACTGGATTGCTAGAAGAACAACCCGTGGGGCAAGTTATGAACTTCTACAAAAGTTAGCTGTCAAGGATACTCAGGAATATTATTTTGAACTCAGATTAACTGAAGGCTCTTTTAATGGCCTCTCTACATGGCCACCCGAGAAAAATGAGTGCAGAACCATTTCTATATTTTCCACGGCCTCGCGCCTGTTCCGCGAGACATTCCCCGATTTCTGTCGGTTTTTTTTCCGCGACAAAGGGACGGCGAAGCGTAAAATTGGCGCGGACGCGGTTAGGATCAACATTCGCATTAGCGGTGGGTAGTAGCGATTTTTTTGAGTAACGAAACGAAACTATCGAATATCAGTAGCGGCTTATGAAACAATCTATTTAAATAGCGGCTTCAATAGAGTGTTTCACGACCTGTTTAAAAACGTGGCCAATGAAACGATGGCTGTTTCACGAGAAAGCTCGATTAGTTTGTTTAATGTTTCCGTTTCATTAAGATTACTGTTATCGAAATTTTAGTGTTAAGAAGATTTATATTGCAATGAAATTGCCTTCATGCTTTATACAGGCTTAGGACTGGCTGGTTACGAGTTAATTAAGTAAGAATATCAATAACAATACATGTATACAGGCTGTCCCAGTAATGGTGGATAATCTGGTACGTACGTGTTCGGGCGGGGGTGAGGTGGCCACGGTTCCCCAAACAAAAATTATATCGCGAATGGTTCGCGGTCTACGCCATGTTTTATAAAATTCCGTAAATTCGTACTTCTGATCACAGTGGTCATCACGTCCGTAGTTTAATGCCTAGATCGCATTTTTTTCTTTTAATGTGTTCCCTAATAATGATGTTTCTAAATTACCCTTAAAAGTTTTCAACTACTATGGGTAGTATTTTACAAGACGGCACTAAACATAATTTTAAATTTTTACTTTATTTAACTGCTAAGTTTGAGTACCTGTGGTGAAAAAAAAAAACGTATAGGATCTGTGTGGCCAACCATTTAAAAAGTTTGCCTATATCATAAGGATTCTAAAACATTAGCATACCATGTACTTAATGTCATTACTTACTGAGCTATAGCCGTTAATGTGTAAAAGTAGGCATTTCATTACAAATTTACAAAATTATTGACAGAAAGTTTTTTTAAACATTGCATGTCTTTATTAGGTAAGTACATTTGTCTCTTTTGAAAATTTTACTTTACTACCTGCTCGCCTTGTAATTTGTGAATTCTAAGCTGTGTGAGCGAGACAACAAAAAATCTAATGGGTTAATATCAGGTGATCTTGGTGGCCACAATATCGGTCCCATTCGGCCGATCCACCGGTCACGGTTGGCTTCGTTTAAGTAACTCCTTACTTGGACGGCGTAATGTGCCGGACAACCATCATTTTGGAGCCACATTCTTCGCCAGATGGCTAGTAGCTCATCTTCTAATAAATGGGGCAGCTCATTTTGCAGAAATTCTAAATAATTGGCTCCATTTAGTTTACCCGGTTTGTTCGCTGCCAACTGTGCAGATTATGCAAGTTAAGGTACTCGTCTCTTTTACACGTTGACTCGTCGCTCCACAAATATTTTCTAAAAAACCCGGGATCTTCATTCCATTCGCCTCAGCATTTCTCTGCAAAAAGTAACTCGTGCTGGGTAGTCACGTTGTTGAAGAGTTTGCACACGTGTTACTTGGAAGAGAAGGCCAAATTGGCCTCTAAAAAGCTTGGCGTGCTCAGCAGAGCGGGACAGTATTTCATGCCGGCTCAACGCCTGCAACTTTACAAGGCGCAGGTTCGGCCTCACATGGAATACTGTTCCCATCTCTGGGCTGGGGCTCCCCAGTGCCAGCTCCTTCCACTTGACCGCATCCAGCGCAGAGCGGCTCGAATCGTCGACGACCGAGTCCTTTCCGATCGGCTCGACTCATTGGCACTGCGAAGAGATGTTGCATCTCTTAGCATTTTCTTTCGCATTTACCATGGGGAGTGCTGTGAGGAATTGTTCGGATTAATCCCAGCCGCCAAATTTCACGAACGCACATCGCGGCAGAACTCCCGATACCATCCACACCATCTGGATGATTGGCGGTCCACCACTGTGCGATTTAGAAGATGTTTTCTTCCTCGCACAACTTCCTTGTGGAATAGTTTACCACCAGCGATTTTTCCGGACCGATACGACTTAGGGACCTTCAAGAAAAGAGCCTACTCCTTTTTAAAAGGCCGGCAACGCATCTGCAATTCCCCTGGTGTTGCGGTTGTTCATGGGCGGCGGTAGTCACTTACCATCAGGTGAGCCGCATGCTCGTTTGCCCCCTCCCTATTAAAAAAAAAGTGTAACATGATAAGGGTGAAGTCTCCATTTTTCGACAATCCGATGTGCTGTAGAGTGCGATACTCCAGTGCGTTTTTCGATATCTCGCATCGAAATAGACGAATCTTTTCTGCCGATTCCCAAAAAGGAGACTATACTCAATTCGACTGCCCACGCGATGTCGAGAAGGTCGAGATACGCACTAACCATATTTAACAATAACCAAACACGAATTTATACAATGGAGAATCTGTTGATCCTTTTTACTCACATTAATCCTAAGCACTGTTTGTCTCGCTCACACAGCTTAGAATTCGTCCAAACAAGGCGAGCAGGTAGTAAAGTAAAATTTTCAAGGGCGACAAATGTACTTACCTAATAAAGACATGCAATGTTTAAAAAAAAACTTTCTGCCCATAATTTTGTAATTTTGTAATCAAATGCCTACTTTTACACATTAACGGCTATAGCTCAGTAAGTAATGACATTAAGTACATGGCAAAGATGTTTTATAGGTCCAGATACCGTGTACGCGCGCCTAAAACGCTTCCATTTCAAAGGCGCCAATATTGGCGTATTCGTTCGGTCGTTCCGGCATTACGCCAGTGACGTTCGCTGTGAAAATACGACACGCACCGGTGTTTTTAATTTCGCAAAATGACTGTTTGTGCTGTGAAATCATTTAAAAATTACTCTTAGAAAAAAGATAAGGATAAGAACATCACTTTTCATAAGTAACTATACAATTTTATGGTGTATTTCTTTGTAAAAGAATACGAAAGCTAAATGTCAATACAAGTAATAATACTGCGCAATAATATTTGAGTGTTGCCTAGTCTATGAAATATTTTTACCATTTTTTAATGTCATGATCAACCACAAAGGTTATCTGTATGGGGGTTTTAAACAGTCTAATTTTACAGATTTTACCCAACTTATAGAGTTAAACCGTTTTAAGGGTTAGGTTTGAACTACATCTGGCAGCATGAAATTGCACTTTCCTGTGCTTCTATCCTTTTTGGTCACTCAGAACCGTTATAGTAGTAACCGGTATAGTTCCATCCTCAAAAAGCCGATTGTAAACCGGTTTTAAAAGTTTATCTATCATTCTTGACAATCCATACTAATATAATATTATAAATGTGAAAGTGTGATTTTTTATTTTATTTGTTTTTGTCCTTCCTTCACGCAGCAACGGATCGGAGCAATTTAAAAAAAATTAAACATTTTGCTATCTCTCGGCTGAAGTTTACGCTTAACCAAACTTACTTTTTTTCGTCATTTTACTTAGGATTGAAAAATAATTTAATGTCTTCTACAGTAATGTGTTCTACAGTACAAAAGTGTAGTACTCTGTATATATTTAGTAATAATAGATTATAAATATATGTTACATACATAAATATCTACTGTGCTTTTTTATTTATTTTAACTGTTACATTAATTATAGGTTTTATTACATATCTTCAATATTTTAGTGCGATGTTCGTACCTACATAAAACACACATAAGCAACCATATCCCGATACACACACACATAAATGCACACGCCACGCACACACATTTTATACTCTTAGAATCAATAGTATATACTTAGTAGTAGTATATACTTTATTGTACACCACACATATACAACGAATAAATATATTACAGAGAAAACTTAATATATACGTATGTACAATAAGGCGGTCTTATTGCTAAAGAGCGATCTCTTCCAGACAACCTTTGGGCTAAAGAGAAACTGGAATTAAGAACAGTAGGAGGTGGTGCGCTTTATGTTACACTTACATACTAATATCTAAATAAACTAAACTATATTTTGTTAAAATACCACAATAATACATAAAAAATAATAATAAAATAAACATACATATTAATAAATAGGTATATATATATATATATATATATATATAAATATATACACATACATATATATACAAAGATAATAAATATTGCTAGAATTGGTTATCGATAACCACAAAGTGTTAGGTAATGCTTCTTGACGTCACTTTTGAATCTTTTCAAAGTTTGAGCACGTTGAATTTGGAGTGGAAGTTCATTCCATAACCTTATGGCTTGGCTCGTAAAAGAATATTTCATAAATTTTGTTCGAAATGAACATGGTTCTAGAATTAGTTCGCCGGCTGACCGAAGAACTCTATCAGGTCGATCATGACCAAGAAACTTAAAGTTTTCCTTCAAGTAGCTTGGAGTCAAAGGATTGAACAACACACAGTACAAAAGAGATACAGTTTGCAGATTCTGGCGAAAGCGAATGGGTAACCACTTGAGCTGTAAACGATATTCGGATACATGATCATATTTACGCAAACCAAATATGAACCTAATAGCAATATTTTGAATTCGCTCAAGTTTGTTCAGTTGGTCTTCAGTTAAATCGAGATAACTTGCGTCCGCATAATCGAGAATAGAGAGAAGTAAGGATTGTGCTAACATAATCTTAGTGGGAATGGGGAGAAAAGAACGTAAACGACGAAGTAAACCCATAGTAGCAAACACCTTTTTGCTCACTTGTTTTAACTGCTGCGACCACGACAAGGTAGAATCTAGATATATTCCCAGATTTTTTACAGATTTACTGTAGGGTATGACAACGTCATTTAGTGTCACCGAGGGTAGGTTGTTCCAGTCAACTCTGGAGACCATCCCTTCACCACCAATAACTATAGCCTGGGACTTGAACGGATTAATTTTTAGACCATAACGCTGACTCCACTGGTTTATCGCCGCTAGGTCATTGTTGATGGTGGCAACAGCAGAAGGCAGATTTAACAGAGTTGACTGAGTGTAGATTTGGAGATCGTCTGCATACATGTGATAGAGAGAAGTAATATTTTGAGAGATAGAATTAATGAATATAGCAAAAAGTAAAGGAGACAGCACACCACCCTGAAGCACTCCAGCCCGTAATTCGCACCAAGATGAGAACTCATCTTCGATGCGAACACGCTGCCGTCGGCCGTAAAGATAACTATGAAACCAGCCAATCACCGGAGGAGATATGTTAATAGAACGTAACACACTCAATAAGATGTCAAAATCAACAGTGTTAAACGCATTGCTAAAATCAAGCAATACTAATAGGTACGTCAATAGGAATGAAATATAAAATCTCCCACATTTTTTGGGTAATCGATTCGCACTGTTATTACCGAAGTCACGCACATTAATGCAGCCATGGTGCGTAAGATATGTGCGTCACGTGGTACACACGCACACATGAATCAAAGACTGTCTTCACTATGAACGTTGCGGTGTGTTAGCAACACGGTATCTGGACCTATAAAACATCTTTGGTACATGGTATGCTGATGTTTTAGAATCCTTATGATATAGGAAAACTTTTTAAATGGTTGGCCACACAGATCCTATACGTTTTTTTTCACCACAGGTGCTCAAACTTAGCAGTTAAATAAAGTAAAAAATTTAAACTTATGTTTAGTGCCGTCTTGTAAAATACTACCCATAGTAGTTGAAAACTTTTAAGGGTAATTTAGAAACATCATTGTTAGGGAATACATTAAAAGAAAAAAATCCGATCTAGGCATTAAACTGCGGACGTGATGACCACAAATGTGATCAGAAGTACGAATTTTCGGAATTTTATAAAACATGGCGTAGACCGCGAACCGTTCGGGATAGAATTTTTTTTAGGGAACCGAGGCCACCTCACCCCCGCTCAAACACGTACGTACCAGATTATCCACCATTACTGGGACAGCCTATATATAATTGTATTCTCTTTTTATCTTACTACAAATATTATTATTGTTGCACAAAACAAAATCCTCTGGGTCAAGACCACGCAAATTCATCATCATCATCATCATCATCATTACAGCCTTTCATAAGTCCACTGCTGAACATAGGCCTCCCCCAAGGAATGCCACAAAGCACGGTCCTGAGCCACCTGCATCCATCGAATTCCTGCATGTCTTATCAGGTCGTCACTCCATCTCGTGGGGGGTCGCCCTACACTTCGCCTACCGGTACGAGGCTGCCACTCAAGAACCTTTCTTCCCCATCGGTTGTCGGTTCTTCGAGCTATATGGCTGGCCCACTGCCACTACAGCATATTAATCCGTTGGGCTATGTTGGTTTCTCTGGTTCTACTGCGGATATACTCATTTCTAAGTTTATCACGCAGAGAAACCCCGAGCATAGCCTTCTCCATAGCTCGCTGAGCGACCTTGAGTTTCCTCATACGGCCAGCAGTGAAGGACCACGTCTCAGATCTGTAAGTCATCACTGGCAACACGCACTGGTTGTACAATTTCGTTTTAAGGTTTTGAGGTATATCTGACGAGAAGATGTGTCGTAGTTTCCCGAACGCTGCCCAGCCGAGTTGAATCCGTCGATTGACCTCTCGGTCGAAGTTGGACTTACCTAGTCGGACTATTTGTCCCAGGTAAATATACTCGTCAACAACTTCGAGCTTAGTGCTCCCAACAACTACCGGCATAGGTGTGACATGGACATTAAACATGATCTTTGTTTTGTCCATGTTCATCCTAAGACCTATTCGTTGGGAAACACTATTGAGGTCATTGAGCATGGTGCTTAGGTCCTCCAGTGATTCTGCCATAAGGACTATATCGTCGGCAAATGGAAGGTGAGTGATGTACTCGCCATTGTGGTTAACCGTATCCAGTCCAGTCCAGAAGCTTGAAAACGTCTTCCAATGCAGCGGTGAAGAGTTTCGGGGATATAACGTCACCCTGTCTTACACCTCTCTGCAATTGGATAGGTTTCGTACTCTGGTTCTGTACTCAGATAGACATCGTAGCTCTACTGTACAAACACTTCAGCACTTCGATATACCGACAGTCAACTTGGCACCGCTGAAGGAACTGCAGCACCGCCCAAATTTCGACGGAATCAAAGGCTTTCTCATGGTCCACATACGCCAGACATAGTGGCAAATTGTACTCTTCGGACTTCTGTACAATTTGCCGAATGGTATGTATGTGGTCTATAGTGCTAAAGCCCTTTCGGAAACCGGTTTGTTCGGGAGGCTGGAAGTCGTCAATTCTGCGCGCGAGACGATTCGTAATGACTCGAAAACAACACGTAGACGCGGCTCAGAAGGGAAATCGGTCTGTAGTTCTTCAAGAGAGCGTTGTCACCTTTCTTGAAGAACAAGACCACCGCACTTCTGCTCCACGCCTCCGGTGTAATGCCACCATGGAGGACGGAATTAAAGCCTCTGAAGGACTTCAAGTACCGGTCTTCCACCCGCTTTCAGAAGTTCCGCTGTAATTCCATCCTCGCCTGGGGCCTTGCCGTTTTTAAGGTGCTGGAGAGCCATTCTAATCTCGCTCAGACTGACGCCCGGGATATCTTCGGAATAGTGTCGGATAAGACTCGCTCTTGGATCGTTACTCACACTTGCTTGTGGCTCCAACGATGACGTGTACAGCTGCCAATAGAACCTCTCAATCTCACTCAAAATCTCAGGTGCCCCGGAAACGATGCTGCCACACTCGGTCTTCAGCTTCGACAGTTGGCTCTTTCTGGCAGACAGATCTCTGGCAAAGACTTTGGAGCCTTGGTTCCGCTCGATCGCTTCTTCAGTACAAGCTGTATTGAAGTTGCGTAAGTCCCGCCGCATGCATTTGGAGATCTGTCTGTTCAGTTGCCTGTATGCTGTTAAATCTATTGAAGAATGTAGCTTCATCTCCCGTCTAACAGCCATGAGATTAAGAGTGTGATCGGAGAGTTTTTGTGTTCTTCTGCGGTGGGTCTTGCAGAACTTAGCTCCGACCGCATGGACAGTTTCCACGAGCTTCTCATTCATATCGTCCACTTCATTGCAGTCTTCTAGGCAATGAAAACGGTTTTGTAGCTCGAGCTGAAGGGTTTCGGGACTTTGGAACAGAGCACGAGGGGGACGGAGCGTTGACTTCATTAGACGAGACCTCTCCAACTTAATGTCCAACTTAACGCAAATTCAAGCAATTCGACAATATTTTTTGTTTAAAAATAACACGCACACTTACTTAGTAAGCGACTGAGCCGCATGCGAATGTGGAGCCTAACCGCGTTCGCGCCAATTTTACGCTTCGTCGTCTTAATGTCGCGGACCAAAAAACCGACAAAAATCGGGGAATGTCTCGCGGAACAGGTGCGAAGCCGTGAAGAATATAGAAATGGTTCTACACTCATGTTTCGCTGGTGCTTGCGATTCACGCGGGAATGTAGAGAGGCCATTAAGTCTTCAGTTAATCTCAGTGCAAAATAGTATTCTATTTAATACTGGTAAGAGCGTGGTCCTTTACCGGTCGAGCCGACCTATTCGTGGTATAACTATACCAGTAATTTTGCTGCAGCGTGGCTCTACCACGTAAAAAATACTATGACAACTATGGCAAATATCTTC